CTCTGGAACGTCTGCCTGATTCTTCCGCGACCACATTGTGCTCACGCCTGTGAGAGTACGACCCTGTTCCATTCCTTTCTCCTTTCCATTTCATTCCTCTTTTTATCCTGATTCATTTGATCTTTATCTCATTCCATTTGGATTCCTATTCCTCCTTTTCCTTCATCCTTTGGTTTATCGTGTTATCATAATAATATCACCGACCAGGCTCGGGATGTATTGACGCGCTCTATCTAGCGTAATCCTACCGTAATCTCTTAAAGCCAATAGCTCCGCGTGGCTATACGCAAGGTGATTCTATTTCTAGAAGGGTCTATTCCCTTTGGATAGGATAAACCTGGTTACCTGATGTACATTGGAAGTATAAAAGCGCCTTATACTGATCGATAGTGCAACCTTTCCTCGACACATTTGATCCTGTGACACTTGGTAATCAGAGCTTTTCTCACTTGGCCGTTCTCAGCTAAGCAGCAGGAGCGGGATCCTGCCTCGAAAAACCGCCGGGGGCGACCAATTCGGCGCCGATTCTGGTAAGCACCAGCTTCGCGTTTTTTCGAATTACCCCCACCGCGCGTGTTTTGAACAGGATGGCGAACTTCGACAACGCCGAAGTTACCCAGCAGCTCTTCGCAAGCATCGCTGCCCTACAGGAGGAGATGCGAGCCGACCGCGAAGCTTGGCGACAAGAATTCGAGCGAGTAACTCGACTCGCCGGCGCGCAACACGTAACGACAACGGCGACGACGCAGCAGTCGCAGCAATTTCTTGAGGCCCCGAAGCCGCGCCCACCTGAGTCGTTCGATCCGAGCGATCGAAATTCCGACGTCCGCAGATGGATCGCCGGCATGAAGATCTACTTCGCAGCCGTCGGATGGAGCTTGCCAGTCTGGGACGGTCAACGCGTATGACTCGCGGCGACACTGATGCGAGGACCGGCACTCGAGTGGATCGGCGGTAACAGCACCTTCATCCACGGCGAAGCCACGTGGCAGCAGTTCCGCACCGACCTGCTGAAACGTTTCGAGCCGATAAATTCGGATTTCCTTGCCCGGGAAAAAAATCATCGCCATCAACAGTTCGGGAGTGTAGCACAGTACACGCAGCAGATGGAAGAATTTTATAGCCGCATTCCTGACCTCACCGAAGCGGAAAAAGTACTGTCGTACCTCGCCGGGCTGAAGACTGAAGTCAAACGACAAGTAGCAGCGACAAACTACGCGAGCTACAGTGACGTCGTATCGGCAGCGGAACGCTTCGACATGGTCAACGCCGGGACACGACGGACGCACGTTGGCAGTACGCGACAGGGCGACCGCTCCGCTCACCCTACGTTCGCCGACCCGATGGAAATGGACAGGTTCGAAGGGCGGCCACGTCCGAAAAACACCAACTTCACGTGTGATTTTTGCGGGGTGCCGGGTCATCGAATCTTCGACTACAACAAAATGAAAGCCGTACACGCTGAGTATCGGGCATGCAACAGTGGCGGAAATCCTTCGGCCAATCAGAAGACAAAAAACGGGACTCGCCAGTGTTTGCGGATCTAGCTGGCAAAAAAGAAAAGATCCGAAAGCGACCGCGGACTTCCGGAAAAATCATCTTCGACGCAGCTGATTCGACGCGAACAGGAGAAAATGATGGGGAAAAATCTCCACCCCACGACCAGTCTTCGCCAGAGGAAATCGCCGAGGAAAAATCTAACTCCGCGAAAAAGGACTCTGCCAAGATGGGGAAACTCCTTGAAGACCCAAGAAATTATAAGGATTCATTAAAGTTATCTTATAAGGATGCTTTAATGAAAAACGGCGAACAGGGGAGATATAGCATTTGGATTGTATCCACTAAGAACATACCCTATCTAGCATTTAACTTCTATATAACAATATATGTATAAGTTGACACTTTGTTCGTGCGGTTTGGTCCGGCATCTTCTGGAGGGCACCTTAGCAGGGCTGTCGTTATCAGGGTATTCTACTCTGATTCTCTGATTTTACAGGGTACGTTTTTTTGCCAACCCGTAATTTTCAGGGTGGTCAAAATCTAAACACTTAACCCTTCAAGGATGTAAGTTTTGGAAGACTAAGAATTTCGGGGACCATGTTATATGCATACTGAGTTTCCAGGGCTTAACGCGTACCAGCCCTGATACGGACAAATTGTACCGAACTGCTTGCAATCCTGCTATTTAGGCTAAGTCCCCAATCGTCAGAGACGTTCCCCCCCACACACCCAGCAACCTACGTACAAAATTCGGCGAAGTCCAAGTGTACAGACACTCCCCCTATACACATCAACCTACAAAATACTTCCAAGTCCTTTGGTACAAACACTCGCCCCACGCACCCAACAACCTATAAAAAATTCGCCCCACACACCTAGCAACCTACAAAAAATTCGCCCCACACACTCAGCAACCTACAAAAAATCGGCTAAGTCATAATAGCCAGAGACAGGACAAACAAAAAATCGGTGAAGTCTTTTGTACAAACATTCCCACTCCCAGTCCTCAACGTCTTATACCCCCAACAAACCCATAGTTATTTTCTAAGAGCAATCACTCCGTTTAGTGGAATTTTTGCCTGTTGCCCACGTGGTCATCTGAAATTCAATGAAAAGGTGACGGCCACGATCGATTGCGATCGTTTCGACAAATATCAGCCGTTAGATATTTGCCAGTGATCAACGTCCCAGATTTTCCCTTCCATTTCGCTTCCCTCCTCCCCTCCGTTTCGATCCCCCCCTACCCCTCCGTTTCGCCTCCCCCCTCCCCTGCGTTTCGATTCCCCCCCTCCCTTCCGTTTCGATCCCCCCCTCCCCCTCCATTTCGCTTACTCCCTCCCCTCCGTTTCGACCCCCTTCCCCTCCGTTTCGATCCCCCCTTCCCCTCCGTTTCGATTTCCCCCTCTTCTCGCTTTTGATTCCCTCCACTTTTCCCAGTTGAATTAGATGTTAAATAATATATATTTTATATAAAATTGTAGGCTTGGTTATGCTACTTACTGAATCCTACTGTAGAAGGGACTACCCCCTTCTTGTATCTCCTTCTCTTCTAGTCCAACTCTCTTTTCTCTCCTCAACTCTCTCTCCTAGCCTAAAACCTCACGCCATTTCCATGGCTCTTCCTTCTCCTAGCTTGAACCATTCTAGCTCTTTTAACATGGAATCAGAGCTGTTCGTTCCTTGTGGGCCTGCTCCTCACGCTTCCGCCGCGCTCTTCTACTCTCTCTCTCTCTCTCTCTCTCTCTCTCTCTCTCTCTCTCTCTCTCTCTCTCTCTCTCTCTCTCTCTCTCTCTCTCTCTCTCTCTCTCTCTCTCTCTCTCTCTCTCTCTCTCGCGCTGCCATGGCGGCCGCGCCGTGCTGCCGTGGCCTCGTCGTCGTTCTGCCGCGGCCGTCGCAACGCGCTGCCGTGGCGTCGCGCTGTCGTGGCGTCGACGTCAAGCCGTGGTGGCGTCGGCGTAGACGTCAGCGCACGGGCGGCAGTGGGTCGCGCACTGGTTTAGGCACTAGGCAGCAAGCCCCCGCTCTCCAGCTCCCTGGGCCTCCTAGCTCGTCATGTCGGATCCTGCTCGTCGCGTCGGACCCAGCTCGCCGCGTCGGTCCCAACGGACCCAGCTTGCCGCGTCGGTCCCAGCTCGCCACGCCAGCCGGCTCCGCCCCGCCGCAGCTCAAGGATGCCTAGCGCCTTCCTTCCCTGCAGTCACCTCTACTGCATGCTGCTGGCGACCTCGTGCCGTCCTCCTCCTCCTCGTCTCCGGTTGAGCCATGGCGCCGTTGCCTCGGGTGCTGCAGCCGCCGTCGCCAGGTGCCTCGATGCCGCCGCCGCCGCCGCCGCCGCAGTCGCCGATGCTGCTGCGACCCGCAGTCGCTGATGCTGCTGCGACCCGCAGTCGACGTCGCCACCTCGATCGCCGAGGGGTCGACTGGCTGGTCGACGCCACTACTGCTACAGGGAATGGGGGTGCTGGGGGTGGGATGGGCTTGCCACTACCAAGCCTAGGGGGTGTGTTAAATTAAATAATTTTTATATATACTTGTAGGCTTGGTTATGCTACTTACTGAATCCTACTGTAGAGGGGAGGGACTACCTCCCTTCTTGTATCTCCTTCTCTTCTAGTTCAACTCTCTTTTCTCTCCTCAACTCTCTCTCCTAGCCTAAAACCTCACGCCATTTCCATGGCTCCTACTCCTAGCTAGAACCATTCTAGCTCTTTTAAAACCACAGGCTAAAATAGCCAAGGTGGGGCTTCAAGAGCGCCGTTCTTGAAGATGTCCTCATCACCGCAGCCGCCTTGAGCACGAGCTCCGCCACTGTCGTCATTGAGGCCGCCCAGATGCGGCCAGCTGCCTCTCGTCCGGGGGTGTCATCGCCTAACATGAGGGGTCGATACCCGGCTGCTCATGAGAATGAGGGGGTCCGAGGTTTGGGGGTGTGTGTGTGGGTTGAGTGGGCTTGCCACTACCAAGCCTAGGGGGAGTGTTCAAATTATATTTTATGTAATTATAGGCTTGTAGTTGTGCTACTCCATCCTACTATAGAGGGGATAACTCCCCTTCTTGTACCTGTTTCTCTTCTAGTTGATTCCACCTTTTCTTTTGACATTCTCCTCGCCTTCCTCCTAGCTAAACCCCGCCGCCATAGTCATGGCGTCCTAGCTATCCTACCTTCACGACACCCCAACCTATCCCAATCCAATCCATCCCAAATCCCTACGATTTGGGAGGATTCCCTTGGGATTCCCTCCGATTCTCCCTTATCCCTTCCCATCCTCTCCGATGCTCGGTACTTAAAGCGAGGGTCTCAAGAAGCAAAAAACCAAACCCAAAGGTTTTGGTTTCGGGGGGTCTCGAAAATTGCGAGGTGTGGTAAGGGGTGCTGGTTGGGCGCTGTAACTGTTTCGCTAAGTTCGTCAGCCCAAAACCAAAACCTTTGGATTTGGTTTTCTGCTTCTTGAGACCCTCGCTTTAAGGATGTATGCTCTTGCTCATTTCAATCCATGAAGTTCTCAGTTTCTGATACAGGCAAGTCTGATGAATCAGACAAGCCCAAAACCAATTTGGGGGCCTGCTTGTACTCTTGCTGACTGGACTTCGGACCCTAAGATGTTGGACTTGCAGTGCCACCCTAAGCTGTGTGTCTCTTGCTAGTCGCTACCCCTTGTCTAGCCTATGGGGTGTGTCAACATATAATTTGTATATGTTATAGGCTAGCTAGGTGCATGCTCATATAGAGTACAACCCCTGAGGTTATATCCCCTTGTACCACCTCATTCTAGTCATTCGTTCTACTCTAAGATGTGTTTCGTCAATGTGCGCATGTACCTTGCATCTTAGCTGCAGCACCATCCGCTGGCTTACAAGGAAGACTAGCTAGCGGCAGCTGCCTTGGCTGTGGCCGCTGCTTGTGAGGCTTGGTCCTTGGAGATGGGCTGAGTGTTGCACTGCAGCCACTGCAGGGGCGTGCCTGACAGCAGCGGAGAGACCTGGGGGTGCATGGTCGTGGGAGAGGAAGTGGAAAGGTCAGAATGGTTCTTTGGGTGTCAAAAACGTTCGTTGGTGCTTCAAAACGTCACTGCAGGGGAGCGCCTGCCAGCAGCGGAGAGATCTGGGTGTGCATGGGCGTGGGAAAAACGTTCTTTGGTGCGTCAAAGCACCGGTGGAGGGGAGCACTCGGTAGCAGTGGGGAGACATGGGGGTGCATGGAAGCGGGAGAGAAAGTGGACTAGTCAGGAAGGTTCGTTGAGTGCGTCACAACACCACTGGAGGCAGAGGTTGGAAGTAGTGGGGAGACATGGGGGTGCATGGGCGGGAATCAAGTGCGCTGCTGAGTATCCAGCTTGGGCCAGAGTGGGGTGATGTGAGGGGGGATGAGCTGGTGTGAGGGGGTATGAGCTGGTGTGAGGCCATGTGAGGCTATGTGAGGAGAAAAGAGCTGATATGTCGCACAAATGGTCACACTCACAGTGTCCCACACTCGCTGGTGATACTCGTTGATCCACTTGACCTCATTCTCGCTCAGCAGCTCCACAGCTATGGTATGAGCGGGTAAGTGACACACATAGTCACTGGCGTCATGCACAAAGTCACACTCACTATGTCCCACCGTCACACTCACTATGTCCTACAGTCACACTCACAATGTCCTACAGTCACACTCACAATGTCCTACAGTCACACTCACAGTATCCCACACTCGCTGGTGATACTCGTTGATCCACGTGACCTCATTCTCGCTCAGCAGCTCCACAGCTATCAACTTCGTCTGTGAGAGTGGTTGGAGGGAATTAGAGGGCAGACCGTATGCGTGTGAACTCGTGAGGTGATTGGCAGGAGACGTTTGGCCTCATTCTCGTCTAGAAGCTCCGCCGCAATCAGCTTCGTCTGTGAGGGTGGGTGATTGGGTGAGTGCAGGGCATCGACTTGTGAGGGGAGGGAGGTCGATCCACCTGAAGCAGCTATCGCTCTGCAGCTCTACAGCTGTCAGCTTGAGTGGAAGCAAGCAATGTTCAGGGAATACAGGGGTGGGAGGGGAGTGAATAAGGAGGAAGGAAGGAAGGACCATGGATGCCCAATCAATTTCTGAGTCAACTCATTCTAAGGTGACTAGAAGGAAGGACCATGCATGCCCAATCAACTTCCAAAAAGAGATGAGGCGCATCAACATCAGATGACATAGTGCAGAACGAGGCATAGGTACTTGGATGGGGAAGAGTGTCATGTATTCAAACCCCAAGTACGTTGAGTCTCCAAATGGCCTTTGATTCGCCTCAAAGCCAGCTTAAGCCTTTTTGAGTGGCCACATAAGTGATCTTAGAATAAACTTAAAGACCAGAAGTACCTGGATGGGGAATAGAGTCAAGTACTCGAATCCCAGATACGTTGTGCCTCCAAATCTGTACGGTGTCTCCTGCTCCCTCACCACGAGAAGGTTCTGGGAAGGTGGCAGGATGGCAAGAAGCAGGGGGGGGACAGACAAGGCGAGGAATTGAAAGAGCTCGAGGAGAGAAGGAAGGAGGAGAGAGAAAGTAGGCAGGCACCATGCCTGCCCCCAGAAACGTGAGTTGATGTTCCTACCCCCAGGTTCTGCTCATCCCCAGGCTGCCATGGTAAAAGTCCAGCGTTGGCTTCCACTCCCCTTCCCACTTTCCCAATCTCCTCCCCCCTCCCCCCCATTCTGCTCCCCTCAGTCCTGATTCCGAACTGGCTATCGCCGTAAAAGCCAGGATCGCTGCTGAGCACCATGCCAGCCAGCAGGGGCGTGGCGTTTTCTCTCCCCTCCCTTGCCACTTCCCCAATCCTCCTTTTTCCCCCCCTCCCTCCCCTCTTTCCCCCCGTTCTGGTCACCTCGATCCTGATCCCGAACTGGTTGTCATGGTGGAGTCCCGGTTCATTTCTGATCACCATGCCGGTTTACAGAGGCACAGCGTTAGCCCCACCCCCCTTGGCACCTTCCCAATTCCACCCTCACCGTTCTTATCCCTTCTGAACCACCCCTGCCTCTCTCACACCAATCCGTATCCCGAACTGGTTGCCGTGGTACAACCCCGGCTCATTGCTGAGCACCATGCCGGCCTGCAGAGGCATGGCGTTGACTCACCTCCCCCTTGCACCTATTCAGTCCCCCCTCCCCCCCTCTTTGCCTCACCTCGATCCTGATCCCGAACTGGTTGTCGTGCTAGAACCCCGGCTCATTGCTGAGCACAATGCCGGGCTGCACCACTTGCAACCCCCCGGCCTCCCCTCACATGGACCTGTACCCGGCTCAGCATCCCATACTCTTTGGCTCACCTCGATCCGGATCCCAAACTGGTTGTCATGGTAAAAGCCAGGCTCGTTGCTCAGCACCATGCCGGCCTGCAGAGGCGTGGCGTTGCCGAACCGTGGGCTGATGCTCTGCGGCCCCTCGTGCACATTCAGCGCCGCGCCCACCCCGTGCCCCGTGCCGTGCCGGTAGTCCAGACCCATGGACCAGAGGGGCCCTCTGGCTAGGATGTCCAGGACGAAGCCTGGCGTGCCTACAGGGAAAACAGCTCTGTCCAGCGCAATATGGCCCTGAAATGGGGAGAAAGTATGGCGAAGGTGGGGGGATGATGGGAGAGGCAGGGGGGCACGGGGAGGAGATAGAATGGGCCTGATGCCCTGAGGCCCCTCGTGCACGTTCAAGGCCACCACCACCCCGTGCCCCGTGCCGTGCCGGTAGTCTAAACCCATGGCCCAGAGAGCCCCCCTTGCTAGGATGTCAAGGTCGAAGCCTGGCGTGCCTACAGCGAAAACAGCCCGGTCCAGGGCAATATGGCCCTGGAGAAGGGGAGATGATAGGGGGAGAAGGGGAGATGATAGGGGGAGAAGGGGGGACGGGGGGACGGGGGGACGGGGGGACAGGGGGACGGGGGGACGGGGGGACGGGGGGACGGGGGGACGGGCTGATGCTCTGCAACCCCTTGTGCTCATTCAGCGCCGCCCCCACCCCGTGCCCCGTGCCCCGTGCCGTGCCGGTAGCTTAAGCACATGGACCAGAGAGGACCACGAGCAAGGACATGGAGAACGACGCCTAGGGTGCCTTGGGGAAAGTCTGCACAGTCTAGGGCTATGCGCCCCAGCAAGGCGGGTGCGACCAAGGGGGAAAGGGAAGAGAGCGTGTAGCGCTGCTGCTCTGCTACCCCTCCAAGATGAGAGGAAGGAAGTTGCTGCACTGGATACACTTCTTACAACTGGACGGTGCTCACCCATCCATCTGTAGCGGTTTTTAGTAGAACCATACTCCGTGCTTGTGGTGGTGGGGTGGGTGAGAACCAACACAAGCACATCTGCGGCACATTATCACAATCACATGCGCAGCACATGCGTGTGTTGCTTTCTCGCAAACCGAGAGCGTCCTGAAGTGAGCAGTGCGAGTGATCAGTCGTGCCGTCCACATACTGCCACTTGTAGCCCACCAACTGTAGGCACCTCAAAATTGCCACCTGTAGCCCACCAACTGTAGGCACCTCAAAATTGCCACCTGTAGCCCACCAACTGTAGGCACATCAAAATTGCCACCTGTAGCCCACTGTGGGCACCTCAACTTACACACCTGCAGCACCCACCTGTAGCACTCGCGTGTAGCATTCTTTCTCGTAGTCCGAGGGAGTCCCAAAGTGAACAGTGCGAGTGATGTCAGTTGTGCCGTCCACGTACTGCGCACCGCTGTCCAGCAGAAGCATCCTGGAAGGATCCACCACAGCGCAGCTGCCCTCCTCGGCTCGGTAGTGAATGATCGCCCCGTTCTTGCCCGAACCTGAAGGTCAGGCTCGGGGAAATACAATGTGGGCTTAGCACACCCGTTCTTGCCCCCGAACCTGCATGCCAGGCTTGGGAAACCTAGAACGGATCATCCTAAGCGTCTGAGAGTGTTTGCTGTGCTTGGAGTGATTCGAGACACTAAGTCTCCTGTGATGCCTTCATCCATCCACCTGCAAGACCTTTGAGTCGACTCAAAAGAAATTATTCGAGACGAACATACCCTGCACGGCACCCACCTGCGAGACTGTATCCTACCCACCTGCAATGGTGTTGAGGTACCCTTCCGGCTCTACCCTGAACGTTGCTTGAGTTAGCTGAAGAGATTATCAATGCTGTGTGCCCACCTGCCGTGGTAATATCCAAGGTGCTAAGCCCCACCTGCAATGGTGTCGAAGCTGGTATCAAGAAACCCCTCCTGCTGCGCTCTGAACGCCTCCAGCTTCTCCCCAAGCTCCACCTCCGTCACTGCCCTCCCCTCCCCCACCACCACCCGCTCCGCCCACTCCCAGAAACACGCCATTGCTGCTGCATCCCTGTGAGAAACGGGGTAGGGAAAAAGAACCGAACTCTCAGAAAAACATCTCTAGTAACCACCTGTCCTCGCCCACCAGGCCCTTCTCCCGCCACCGCACCCCCTCCCCACTTCTTCCCACTTTCCCTTTTTCTCAAGCGTTCACCTGATGTAAGCGTTCTTCCTCCCACTCTCCCTTCATTGCAAACTCCATCACCTCAAGCGCTCACCTGATGTAAGCGTTCTTCCTCCCACTCTTCCTTCATTGCAAACTCCATCACCTCAAGCGCTCACCTGATGTAAGCGTTCTTCCTCCCACTCTCCCTTCATTGCAAACTCCATCACCTCAAGCGCTCACCTGATGTAAGCGTTCTTCCTCCCACTCTCCCTTCATTGCAAACTCCATCACCTCAAGCGCTCACCTGATGTAAGCGTTCTTCCTCCCACTCTCCCTTCATTGCAAACTCCATCACCTCAAGCGCTCACCTGATGTAAGCGTTCTTCCTCCCACTCTCCCTTCATTGCAAACTCCATCACCTCAAGCGCTCACCTGATGTAAGCGTTCTTCCTCCCATGCCTTCCATCCATCTCCAGATTCGTTCTTCAGAGCTCTGGCCACAGACACTGGGCTGGTGCGAATCAACATAGCTGGCCCCTCCCCTGCCACGGTGCCACCACACTCTCTCCCCTTTTCCTCCCACACTCCCTTCATCGCAACTCCCATCACGTGAAGATCTCACCTGATGTGGGCGTTCTTCATGCCCTCGATCTCACATTCGTTCTTCAGAGCCTTGGCCAGAGAAACCGGGGTGGTGCGACTCAGCACAGCCGGCCCCTCCACAGCCACAACACCCTCTCCTCCAGCCCCTTCCTCTTCCCCTCCTCCTCGCTCCTCCCGCCCCTTCCCTCCCTTACCCTCCTTGCTCTTCTTCTCCCCCTTCTTCCCTTTCTTCCCTCCTGGCGCTCCCCCAAAGCCCCCCTTCCCGGACACCCGCTGCTCATAGAATTGAGCGCAGGCGGCTTCGACGGAGCAGAGGACAGCAGAGGAGGCTGAGGACGGGTCGAGCCACAGACGAGCTCCGCCCATAGCAGACCTGTGAGGGCGGAAGGGAGAGGGGGGGAGTGGCAAAGCGTTTGTGGTATTGAGCGCATAGAGATCCCCCATCTCCTGATGCGCGCTGCTCATAGAACTGAGCACAGCATCGGGCTTTGACTGAACAGAGGGCTGCAGAGGAGGCCGAGGAAGGGTCAAGCCAGAGACAAGCTCCGCCCGTAGCGGACCTGCAGAGAAGAGAGGAAGAGTGCTACGAAAGGAAGGACGGGACAGAGGGTGTTCGAGAGAGAGGGACGGAGGTAGGACGACAGCGGGACAGGAGGACTTGTCAGACTGAATGCGGGTCGGCAGATTTGAAATCTAGAGCAGGTTGATATCCTAATGCAAGACACAACGTATTCGACGCAGGTGACAGTCGGGAGGAAGGCCATGTGGTCACTGTAGGGCTTGGCAATGACGCCTGCTGCTGCCAGACGCTCAGCTAAAGCAGGCTGTAGGGCTCGACAATGACGTTCATCAACCTTGCAGTGCTCCACAAAGACGTAGGCTGTCGACCTGCTTTCACGTGGATCGTCTGAACTAAGGGGAAGAATTTCTCCAGCCAAAGCAGGTGGAATCACCTCTGGAGGAAGGGCACGAGGTCAGCGTAGGGCTTCACAGTGATGCCTGCTGCTGCCACGTGCTCAGCTACCTCAGGAGCAGCCACCTTGCTCGCATCCACAAAGACGTACGCTGCCTCCATCTCCACCACTGCATACGCCACCGTCACCGGACAGTGCGGCACGTCCGCTCCCCTCTGATCAAGGCGGGAACCCGTGGGTAGGGAGGGGGTGAGGTGAGATAGGCGTGAATGTTTTCAGCGAATGGTTATGGCAAATGGCTATGGCGAATAATTGTGGCGAATGGTTATGGGGGGAGGGGTAGAGGGGCAGTGGGCCGTGGCCTCCATCGCCTCCAAGAACCATCTTGAGTCGACTCAAAAGTTGCTATATGCTAGAGCACAACACCTCACCACGTTGAGCAGCCACGCCACTTCGTCAAGAGCCGACACCAGCAGCGACGTGACCCCAGCGTCCCTCATCTCGCCCCGCAGCTGCTGCAGCTTCGCCTTCACGGTCTGCCCCGCGTACACTATGGGATGCACCCTCATAGGCGCGGAAGGGGGCGGGGGGCGCTGGTGGGACGAAGAGAGGGGGGAGGATGCAGGGGAGTGGAGGAAAGATGATTTTCCTAAATTGACACCAGCAGCGCTGTGACCCTGGCGTCCCTCATCTCGCCCCGCAGCTGCTGCAGCTTCGCCTTCACGGTCTGCCCTGCGTACTCTATGGGGTGAGCCCTCATAGGCGCGGAGGGCGGCAGGGGGCGCAGATGGGATGGAGCAGGGAAGGAGAGAGGGGGGAAGTGGAGCAGATGTGAGTACATTCAATTGCTCCTCAGCTGCTGCAGCTTTGCTTGAATGGTCTTCCCCAAGTACTCTATGGGGTGAACCCTCATAGGCGCGGAGGGCGGCGAAGGGGCGCTGACGGGAGGAGGGGGGGAAGGAGTGAAGGCAGAAGGCGAAGAGGGAGGAAGAGGGTGGGTGGGGGCGGCTGCTGCTGGCCGGTGCTGGCCGCACTGCTGGCCGGTGCTGGCCGATGCTGGACGGAGCTGGCCGGTGCTGGCCGGTACTGGCCGGTGCTGGCTGCACTGCTGGCCGTCGCAGGCCGCAGCTGGCCGCTGCTGGCCGCACTGCTGGACGCAGCTGGCCGCTGCTGATCGGTGCTGGCTGCTATTGGCCGCAGCTGGCCGCACTGCTGGCCGCTGGTGGCCGCTGCTAGCCGCTGCTGGCCGTCGCTGGTCGCAACTGGTCGCTGCTGCCCGCACTGCTAGACGCAGCTGGCCGCTGCTGGCTGGAGTTGGCTGCAGCTGGCCACTGTTGGCCGCACTGCTGGCCGCTGGTGGCCGCTACGGGCTGCTGCTGGCCGCAGCTGACCGCTGCTGGCTGTAGTGCTGGCCACTGCGGGCCGTGGCTGGCCGCAGCTGGCCACTGCTGGCCAGTGCTGGCCGGTGCTGGCCGTAGTGCTGGCCGCTGTTGGACGCAGCTGGCCGTAGCTGGCCGTAGCTGGCCGCAGCTGGCCGCTGCTGGCCGCTGCTGGCTGCTGCTGGCCGCTGCTGGCCGCTACTGGCCGCACTGCTGGCTGCTGCTGGCCGCTGGTGGCCGCTACTGGCCGTTGCTGGCCGCACTGTAGGACGCAGCTAGCCGCTGCTGGCCGGTGCTGGCTGTAGTGCTGGCCACTGCTGGCCGCTGCTGGCCGCTGCTTGCCGCTGCTGGCCAGTGCTGGCCGGTGCTGGCCGGTGCTGGCCGGTGCTGGCTCGTGCTGGCCGTAGTGCTGGCTGCTGCTGGACGCAGCTGGCCGTAGCTGGCCGTAGCTGGCCGCTGCTGGCCGCAGCTGGCCGCCCTCTCCATGTCAGCGCAGTAGTGAGTTATCCCCTTACTCCCCACAGCATTAAAACATTTTCGTCCTTCCCTCAACGACCTCCGTCGCCCTCACGAACGACGTGAATGGGGTTGCTCTCTCGAAGCAGAGGCACGATCACTGACGACAAGGCTGGCACACTAGGGCACACTGCCCTTGGACCCCGCACCCAGCACGCACATTCCCCTCTTCCCACACCCTCGTCTCCCCCCCACACAGCGTCCATGGGGTTCGTCTCCCCCAGCACAGGCACCACCACTGCCGCTAAACCCCTTCCTCCCCACCTTCACCGTGTAACTTTTGAGTCGACTCAAAAGTCACCTGGTTACAACGCCACACGGAAATTTCGCTACAAGGAGAACCATTCTCGCTTGGAGGCTGCCGAAGAGAGCTGGGAATTTCTTCATTTCTGCTCATAAGTATTAGACTACAGTAGTTTTTGTACTGTTTGTTTATCTTTCTTTCCCCTTGCCATCTTCGAGACCCCGCAGAGGAATGCCTCGCGAGGAGTCCTCGAGATTGGTATTCAGGCTAGCTAGTTTGCTATTTTTCTTTGTGGTCTGAGAAGGCTCTCGAGCCGAAACCGGTTACCATTAATTTTTTCTCACAGAGAGTCTTTTTTTAGCAAGCTCTGTCTTACTTAAGCGTCTAGACAAGTTGCTGCCACGTTAAGTACCATGGCACCTAAGTGGTGTTCACTCACACGGCGTCGATGGGGTTTGTCTCCCGCAGCAGAGGCACCACCACTGGCGCTAAAACCCCTTCCTCCCCACCTTCACCATGTACACGAATCAGCCACCTCCCTGCCTCTTCCCTTGCTCACCTCTGCCCCCCACACGACGTCAATGGGGTTCGTCTCCCGCAGCAGAGGCACCACCACTGACGACGAGCCTGCCAGCGTTTCAGCAAGGCACCTCACGTTTTCCGCTGAGTGCACAAACTGCAGGTAGAGTTTGGATTGGGGGGAAGTTGGGGAGTGGAGGGAGGGGAAAAGGGAGGGGGAGGGGGAAGGGGAAGGGGAGGGGGAAGGGGAAGGGGAGGGGGAGGGGGAAGGGGAAGGGGAGGGGGAAGGGGAAGGGGAGGGGGAGGGGGAAGGGGAAGGGGAAGGGGAAGGGGAAGGGAGAGGGGAAGGGGAAGGGAGAGGGAGAGGGATGTCTCAAAAGGCTGTCAGCGTTCCAGCTAGGCTCCTCAAGCTGTCGGCTGAGTGCACAGACTGCAGGTAGAGTTGGGATGGTGGGGAGGGGCGGCGGACAGGAGGGAAGAACAGCTGTCGAGAAGTTGCAATAAGCTGTAAGGGTGAACCCCATCACATGAACATCCTGCAGTCACGAGTCAACTTCCCCCTTCCCCTCAACTCACCCGATCAACCACCAGCCAGCCAGCCACGGACGGCACTCCCGCCATGCTGGCTGGCTGCCCCTACTAGCTTAATTGATCCCCCTTCCCCTCCCCCAACTCACCAGGTCAACCTCGATTCGGCTGCCCTCCGGCAGTGCATCCGCCAGCCACTCCGCCACGGACGCGCTCCCCCCCCCTGGCATGCCCCGCACGCATGAGCTCCCACCCGGACGGCAGCTGCTACTCCGCCTGGCTGGCAAACCCCACGCAGCAGGTCTATGCTATTCCCCCACCCACCACATCCCCACCCCACTCACCGGGTCAACCCCCACTCGGCTGCCCTCCGGCAGTGCGTCCGCCAGCCACTCTGCCACGGACGGCACTCCCGGCATGCCGGCGCGCATGAGCTCCCACCCAGGCGGCAGCTGCTGCTCCGCCTGCAGGAAGTAGCGGCCGTCCGTCCACAGCAGCGCGCGCTCCCTGGTGACCACCGCTGTGCCTGCTGACCCCGTGAAGCCGGAGATGAACGCCCGGCGCTCGAAGCATGGGGCCATGTACTCGCTCTGGGGGCAGAGGGGGGAACAGGGGGGAACAGGGGGGGACAGGGGGGAACAGGGGGGAGCAGGGGGGAGCAGGGGGGAGCAGGGGGGAGCAGGGGGGAGCAGGGGGGAGCAGGGGGGAACAGGAAGAGGGGGGAACAGGAAGAGGGGGGAACAGGAAGAGCGGGGAACGGTCAGGGAACGATGGAAGCAAGAAGTAGCGGCCGTCCGCCCACAGCAATGCGCGATCTCGGGTTACAACCGCCCAAAGCACGGCGCCATGTACTCGCTCTGGAGAAAGCGCCTGTGAAGGGAAGGTAGCGATATGCACGAGAAGGGGAACCCTAAAAAACCAGCAATACGTAAGCCTCCGGCGATCAGATCGCGCGGGTTCTTAAGGATTCTAACTTGGTGCGTGCGGGTCTCCCCACGGAATGATAAACGCTTCGTCTAGGCCCTTCCCCCCATCCACTTCTAGGCTCCAGAGTCTAATTCGCGGGGGCTCCTGAGGATCTTAATCTCTCACCTGGTGCGGGACTTCAGAGGGAATGATTAACGCGTCCACACCCTTCCCCACGTCCGTTTGAGTCGATTCAATAGACATGTCGTAGGTTCGTAGAATGTCGTACCTGGTGTGGGTCTTCGGACGGGATGATGAGCGCGTCCACGCCCTTCCCCCCATCCACCTCCGCCATCACTTCCCGCAGCCGCCGCAGCCGCTTCTCCAGCTCCTTCCCCCGCTTCTGCGCCTTCTTCCCCGCCTCCTCGGCCTTTTTCCCCGCATCCTCCGCGGACTTGTTCACTGCTAATTTCTCCCCGTGCGCACTACCGTTGGCGGAACCAGCTTCCGCATCCGCGGAAGGAGCAACTGGTTCGGCGGAAACTTCATTTGCGCCGCTTTTCCGCCCGCGCGCCGAGCAGGTGAGTAGCAGACGGCGCGATCCGCTGCCGGGAAACGCGGCGGGGAACGCGGCGAAAGAGACGGAAGGAGTGGCGGTTAGACTCGCAATGTGACGTCCAATTGGCGTAGCGAATGCACCGGAGGAAGGGCTACTGCATGCATGGGCGGCTACGCCCATTAATGTTTTAGATGCAGGGGACGATGCCAGTGGCATGGCGACGCCGTGAAGTGCGGCGGAGGAGGGGGGAAGCGGAGTTGATTGGCCGAGAGCTAGGGTGAGAGATGATGCCGGAATGGCGGTGTGGCGTAACATGGTGAAGGACGCGATGTGTATTAGCGACGGATGCGAGACGAAGATGAACTGAGCTGACGCTGACGCTGCTGCTATAGCTGTTCGCAGCATGCGACGCAAGCCGGCCGGAAAACTGATGCCTGCCTGCCTGTCTGTGCCGGTGTTTCTCGAGCCACCTAAACTTCCCGCCGCGAGGAGTGGAGAACAGGAAGCAGAAATAGCAGCTTACAATGGCTGATTGAATCTGTAGGAGGATTTTGTGAACCATCGGTGACCAGCACAACGGCTGGAAGTGACCCGAAGGCGAGACAGATTCAGGAACAAGTTCAGAAACTCATCGTATGGTGAAGCGACGGTGCAGATCTCACAATGATGAATTTGCTTCATTGCGATTGGTTCGATATTCCCTGTGGCCGAATTCCCGAAGGGGGGGAGACAGAGCGTTGCAGGCAGGCCAGGCCGAGCCGAGCCCTAACCGAACCGGCCAGCCCCGGCCAGCAAGCCGCTTGGCGGCGGCAGTTTTTGGCTCGAGCTCATGCAAGCCTCGGAAGGTGGCGGTCAGGAGGGAACGTGAAGGTTTGCCAAACAGGTTTGATCTCATTGTGTGGCCCACATCCGTGCACCGAACCTCCAGTAAGCAAACAAGCCGAACCACTTGGTCAGGCGGGCACCAAGCCAACTTCAAATGAGGCAGGGATTAGTTTAGAAAAACTGCCGCTATTCGCTTTCCCGTTTTGCGATAGAAAATGGCCTCAATGTGAATTTCAGAGAAATCGGGAATTGGCATAAATTTCTTCGAACGTCATCCGAATTCCGTTGACAGATTTGGCGAACAGCACAGGGGTTCGGCAGGTGCAGATTTAGGTGCAAGGCTGTAGCACCCTCATGTGCTCTGCAGTAGCTACAGTTCGTTGCGTTCCCTCTCGCTCCTCTTCGCTTTAGAGTTCAACATTAGTGCTAATATCGAGCCTCGCGCCTCCTCGAGCTTCGCGGGTGCGAGAGGGACACACACCCCCTCCGCGCCACCCCGAAATGGAAAATCCTCGGAGAGGCTTAGCGGAGCTACTGGCGCCGTCCCCGATACAACCCACCCCGATTTTGGAGATAATTAGTTTGGAGGAATTCGACCGTGGAGCGAGGGAACGCTGTGGGCTCGAGCCGGTGCCAGCGCAACATGCGGCGGATTTTCAGGCTGCCGTGGATTATATCCTGCGGGGAGATGTCGAAGGTGGGATTGACGGGAAGGGAGCGGGTTTGGCGGCGGAAGAAGCGGAAGGGCGGTTGGGGAAGGAAGGCACGGGAACGGTAGTAAGAGAAGGAAGAGAGGTGCTGGATGAAACCGGTGATGTCGTCATGGCGGATAGCAATACCGAAGACACGCATTCCGCGGATAAGCTTCTAGAGGCGGCCGCCAGTGAGAGATGGACACGTGGAGGGTATCTAGACCTGCACCGAATCAGCACCTTCTTGGATCGTCACATGGCAAAAATCAGCGAATCTAGTGCCCCAAAAGAGGATGCTCTGGGGAGCACTAGCAACAACAGCAGCAGCAGCAGCAGCAGCAGCACTCCTGTGGGCGAAGGTCTTATTGGCAGACTAGGACCGTCCATAGTCTACATGTTGCGGAGCTCGTTTTCCGGGGAGATTAAAGTGGAGGGAGGCGGGCCTTGGGGCCCCGCGGAGAGGCCAGGGGGAGGGGGCGAGGGGGAGGCGGAGGGCGGGGGTGGGGGGAGCAGCCGCGGGCGGGGGATCTCGGATGCTGCGGCGGCGCTGAGGAGCATCTGGGGGGAGGAGGACATGGCGGGGGTCGACTTCGAGGGGATGGAGTGGGCGGGAGGCGGAGGGGGAGGGGGAGCAGGAGGAGGGGGGTCAGGATGGGAAGGGTTGGTGCTGGATTCGTTGAGAACAGCAGCAGGAGCAGGAGGAGGAGGAGGAGGAGGAGGAGGAGGAGGAGGGGCAGCAGGGCGCATCAGAGGAAGAGGAGGAAGGAGAGAAGACCTCGGAGGGGGTCTGGTTCTCGAGAGCCTCAGCAGTTTCAGCAGCGCGCGGGCCAACGTGTGCGTGTACACGGGCCGTTGGATGTACGAGGCCACTCTAGGCACAGCAGGCATCCAGCAGATCGGGTGGGCGACGCTCGCCTGCCCGTTCACTGCAGAGGAGGGAGTGGGGGACGCGCCGGACTCGTATGCCTACGATGGCAAGCGGGTGCGGAAGTGGAGCGCGTGGTCCGCACAGTACGGCCAGCCGTGGGCCCCACATGACGTCATTGGGTGCTGTATTGACCTGGAGGGGGGAGGGGCGGCTGAGCATGCGGGAATCGAAGCCTCGGGAGCTGCTGCTGCTGCTGCTGGTGCTGGGGGTGCTAGTGTAACTGCGGGTGCTGGTACTGATGGTGGTAATGGTGGTGGTGCTGCTGCTGGTGGCAGGGCTACCAGTGGCACGGCAGTGGGGAGGGTCTCATTCTACCGCAACGGGGTGTGTCTGGGAGTGGCGTTCACGGGAGTGCGCGTCCTCCAGAGGGGCCTCGCCTACTTTCCTGCCGTCTCCATCTCCCACGGGGAGCGCTGCGAGCTCAACTTTGGTGCCCGTCCCTTCCGTTACCCCGTTACCGGGTTCCGCCCATTACAGTCACCTCCTCGCGTGTGCTGGCCTGTGCCCTCCGCTGCTACAGTGTCACTGGATGCTGCTGCTGGTACTGCCCCTGGTGGTACTGCCACCGCCGCTTCAGCTGCTGGTGCTGCTGCTAGTGCTCCTGCTCCTGCTGATGCTGCTGCTGCTCTCACTGCTGCTCCCCTCCATTCCCCTCCATCTCCTGCCGACCCCAGCTCTCTCCCCACTCACGTGGGTCATTTCCTCCTGCCCAGCCTACAGCCCAGCACGCCCCACCAGCACGGCCATTTAGTCACAGCAGGCAGTGCGGCGGGCTCTTCAGACACATGTCACTTTGCGTGCTTCAATGCAGCTGCCTGCTCCTCCTACCTCCTCCAATGCCTCTCTCGGATTCTCCATATCACGTCCCTTCCCTCCTCACACCCCTCAAAACTATCCTCCTTCACCTCTCCCCAGGGCTCCTCCCCATCCTCCGCCCCTGCCTCGCTTCCCCAGAGCCTGCCACCGAACTTGCGACTCCGAACCTGTCCGCTAGGTCCGGACGACGAGGTGCTCCTGGCGGAGATGCTGTGTGAGAGGCTCGGGCCGATGCTGCTGGCAGGGGGGGCTCGTATGGAGGTACAGAGGCAGATGGGGAGGAGGATCGGGGAAGGGAGAGGGGGAGGAGGAGGGGGAGAAAGTGTGGGTTTGGTGCGAGGGGGGTACGCTGTATGGGCGGCGCTGCTTCCTTTCCTCCTTGATGTGTTTCAGCAGCAGCAGCAGCAGCAGCTGCAGCAGAAGCATGCATTGCATTTCTTAGACAGAGTGATGGACACGCTTCATTTGTGTCTGGAGGAGCACGAGTGGGCTGGCATCATCCCCGCCCTGATGGACGCCCTAGCCTTCCACTCCCGAACCACCCTCGTAGGCTCGGCGGCACCCGCAGCACCGAACCTAGCAGCAACAGGCGCAGAGGCGGTCACAGCAGTGGCAACCGCACCTGCATCAGGAACGGCAGCAGGCTCGGGACAACCCCAAGAGGCTTGGCGAGAGGGGTGGGACCCATACCCGTACCTCGCGCTGGCCTGCCACTTAGCTAAGCGTCAGGAGGTGCTAAGTGCGTGGTGGGCTGCAGACGGGTTTCCCACCACTATGGAGTCGTTCTTAACTCGCAAAGTGCCCACGCGGGTTGACTTGGAGCGCCTGTTCCCCGTGCTGTGGTGGAAAGGGTGCCAGGAGGAGGACTGCAGGGAGGCCAGCATGGACGAGTCCAAGCAGGCGTTTCTGAAGGCGACTTCTCGGGTGGAGTCCTGCCAAGTCTCCCTCTGCCGCTCCCTCCTCTTCTTCGTCCCCCCGAGGAGTATCACAGGCGCTTCGGCTACTTACTCGCTTTCCACTGGGGGTGTGCTGGCGCCGTTTTTAAGGAATCTGATTCGCAAGAACCGGGCGGCCAACAGGAACATCGTGCCGCCCGGGCTCTCGGACAGCAGCGTGCTGGTGACGGCTTTTTTTGTCCTGTTGCGGCTGCTGTGGGCGGGACTGGTTGGCTCAGGACGCGGGAAACTGCAGAAGACAAAGAAAATCAAGGCTTTGAGAGAGTCAGGGGGTTTAGAAGGGTCAGGGGGACTTGGGGGGTCAGGAGCAGGAGTTGAGATAGGTGGAGAAGGAGAGGTACCGGGGGAAGCAGGGGGAGGAGGGAGTGGAAGGGAGGGAGAAGCAGAGAGAATGGATGTGGACGGTGATAGAGCGAGGGCAGAGAGGGACAGTCATAGTGTGGAAGCAGGGGAGGTGGGGAGAGATAGGCGGAACCACGGGGCAGGTGCAGCAGGGTGTGGGGAGGGGGACGAGGAGGAGGAGGATGAAGAGGAGGAGGAAAACGAGGAGGAAGAGGAGGAGGAGGAAAACGAGGAGGAAGAGGAGGAGGAGAGCGAGCAGCTATCGCTGCTACCTTGGCCTCGAACCCCCTCTGGAACCATCAGACACACCAAGTCCCGCATCACCACCGCCACTGCCGCCACTGCCGCCACTGCCGCCACCACTACAGGTTACGTGCAGCGTTGTGGGCGCTGGAAGTTTCCTGTCGCCTTCTTCCTGCATCCGGACCTGCACTACTTTGACTTGCCGCGCCTGGGGGGGCTCTTCAGCCACGTGGCAAAGACTTTCCCCCTCTCCGCGCCGCAGGACTTTGCCAGCGTGGAATGGACTGATGATGACGTGGATGATGATGATTGGGCGGCTAGAGAGGAGGGGGAGGGGGAGGGGGCTGGTGTTGGAGAGGAGGGGAGGGAAGGGGAGGAGCGGAGGGAGGGAGGTTCAGGTGCGGGGAAAGGAATGGGGGGGAGCGAGGGGGGAAGAGCAGAGGAGGTGCAGGGGAGAGGGATGGGAGGAGTGAAAGGGGAGGGAGCAGAAAGAAGTGACAGAGGGATGAAGGAAGGAGACGAGAAAGGCGAGGAGGAGGAGGACGAAGACGACGACGATGACGACGAGAGGGAGGTGCTTCTAATGGACATGCTGGTGCTGCTGTTCCACTTGAGAGGTGTTGCTGCGTTCAAACAGGTGAGCTTCCTGGTGCTGGGGATGAGCAGGGAAGAGGGGGGGAAGGGGGCAGTGCTGTTGCTGAACTTGGCGAGCAGCAGTGGGCAATTAGGAATCAGGAAAGCATGAGCTATCGTGTTGTTTTGAGGCGCCTCAAAACTAGACTTCTATCTAGCATGAGCTATCGTTTTTTGGGGCGCCTCAAGAATCAGGAAAGCATGAGCTATCGTGTTTCGTGGTGGGGCACCCGAAATGATGTGTCGAAACAGACTCTCCTCCCATTTCTCCACATCCCTACTCTCCCCCCCCTCTTACCCCCTTCTCCCCCCCCTCTTCCCCCCCATTCTCAGTCCGCCCTGCTATCCCAGGGCATGGTGCAGGCCATATCGCAGCTGGAGGATGCAGACAGGCAGATCAATGCGGCCATGGGGCAACGGGGCCGAGGGGAAGGGGCACCGGGAGAGGCACTTGCAGGGGCAGGAGCAGGAGCAGGGGCGGTGGCGGGGGCAGGGGCAGGGGCAGGGGCAGGGGGAGGGGCAGGGGGAGGGGCAGGGGGAGGGGTGGTGGGGGCAGGGGTGGGAGTAGGGGGGCTAGCGGGGGAAGAGGCAGGGACAGGGGCAGACGGTGGGGCGGCAGGGGAAGGGGCAAGGGCAGGAGCGGGTGCTGCTGCTGCAGCAGCAGGAGCAGCAGCAGCAGGCACAGCTGCAGGAGTAGGTGTGAGTGCAGTGGCAGCATTAGGGGGAGTAGTGCGTACGTCCAGGGGAGGTTCTATCCAGGGAGGTACAGCTGGGGGAGGTACATCTACACGAACATCTAGGGGCGGGTTGGGGGGTTCAGTGCGGGCCCAGCAGTTGAGGGAAGCAAGGCAGGTGTTTAGGGAGGATGTAGATGAGAGTGTGAGGCAGGCAGTGTGGTGGAGAGCGGTGCTGGGCGGTGCGGCATGGAAGCAGAGGGCGGTGGTGGGGGTGTGCAGGCGAGTGAGCTCGCTGCTGCTGGCTGCCAGCAAGCGAGGTCACATCTTCGCCTACGTGCCCGAGGTCTACCTGGAAACCATGGTGAGGCAACCATGCCACCGTGTGGCTACATGCCACAGTATGGTAGTCGTGCCACGGTATGGCTACGTGCCACGGTATGGTAGTTGTGCCACGGTATGGCTACGTGCCACGGTATGGTAGTGGTGCCATGGTATGCCTTTCGCTCCCTCTCGTTCCCTGTCAGCTTTCCCTAGTCGCCCCTCCATCCTTTGTCTCATCTCGTCCTCCTCTCCAGCACTCCCCCCTTCCTACTTTCACCATCCACTCCTCTCCCCACCTGCCCCTCTGTCTGTCTCCCTCATATCCCCCTCCCCTTCCCCCCCCCCACACCCTGTGTATGCGCTGGGACCTGTCATCCTGCCCTCGTCTGCCTCCGCTGCATTTGAGGCGGCTCAGAAGGTCATGTCTGTGGTGTCAATGTCTCCCTCCTTTCTCACGCTCGTGGCTCCCCCGTCCTGCAGGTGGAGTCCTTCCATGCCTTCAGGCGCTGCGACCCTCCGTTTTGAGGCGCCTCAAAATTTTGAGGCGTCTAGTTTTGAGGCGCCTCAAAACCTTTCTCACCCGGTGTATGCGCGGCTCCCCCTTCCTGCAGGTCGAGTCCTTCCATGCCTTCAGGCGCTGCGACCCTCCGCTCTTCCGACTCCGCCGCTCCGTGCACGCCCTCGCGCCCTTCGTAAGCCCCTCAGCACTCCTCTCTTCTCGCCTTTCGTATGCCCCCCTCCATGTGTGCTCGTGCACGTAGTCACCTCACCACCCCCTCTCTCCCGTTTCACTTCACCATGCCCGCTCTGCCTTTCCCAAGCCATCCTCCGCTTGTACCTCCCCACCCTGTGTCTCTTTCTCTGCCAGATATCCTTCCTGCTCACGCGGTTCAGCGACTCTAGAATCGCCAACCCGGACACCAAGGACCAGCTGCTACAGACACTCTCGGTGCTGCTGCAGCTGCCGCCCTTCTCCATCGCACTAGAGACGAACAAGGCCGCCCGCACTTGCCTCATGCCCAGCCTTCTCAACGCGTTTGACCAGCGCTTCTGGATACCCGTTTCCCAGGTGAGTTCTCAGGTGTCTTTGCCACTCAGGATCTTTCTGTCTCTCAGGTGAGTCTTCAGGTGTGTTTCCTCACCCCATCTGTTTACCCGCACTCGACTCCACCCATCTCTCACTCCAAACTCATCTCTCCAACCCACTCCTCTCTATTTCCCCCCCCCTCCCCCCCCCACAGATTCTCCTCCGCCTCTGTGTGAACAACCCCTTCGGCGGCCCCTCCAGCTTCCCCTCGCTCTCCCTCTCCTCCGCCTCCTCCACACTCTCCCTCTTCTCCCCGCTCTTCCAGCACTCCCTGCACCAGCTGCACCTGCACCAGGCGCACCTCTTCTCGCCCTTTCTGAACCGCCTCTTCAACACCCTCAACTGGACGCTCACCGAGTTCTCAGTCTCCCTCAAAGAGGTCCAGGACTTGTATCACCAGCAGGAGGAGCAGCAGCGGCGGAGAGGGCGGCAGCAGCAGCAGCAGCAGGCGTGGGATCTGCAGCACCGCAAGTGCAGTGTGATGTTTGATCTGACATGCAACCTTGCCAGGCTGTTTGAGGTGCTCTGTGAGGCCGTGCCTGAGGTGTTTGTGAACGTGGGGGGAGGAGGTGGGGGAAAGGGGGAGATTGCGCTGGAAGAAAGTGGAGCAGGAGGAGCAGGAGGAGCAGGAGGAACCGAAGGAGGAGGAAGCGGGGAAATGCGAGATGATTCAGGAGGAGAGGAGGGGAGGAGGATGGTGGCTGGGCTCAATACCCCGGGCGAGAGGGAGGGAGGAAGAGAGTCCGAAGAGTCAGCAGCTGCTGCTGCTCCTGCCTCCTCCGCCTCTCCCTCCTCCCCCTCGTCCTCGAATGCCAATGTTGACCCGGAGATGAATCGCATGCGCCTCTTTGAACTCCTCATCTTCATCCTCAACCACACCTGCTCGGGTGCCGATGCCCGTGCCTTGGATGGGTAAGGTTTTGATTAGGATCACCTGGTGTTTAAGCCGTTTAGAGATGAACTGCATGCGCCTCTTTTAGCACCCCGACTTCATTCTCCGCCACACGTGTTTCGGTGCCGACGCCCATGCCTTGGATGAGTGAGTCTGTCTGAGGGTAACTGGCATCAAGCTGCCGCCCTTTTGTCTTCATCTTCAACCCACACCTGCTCTGGCGCCGACCCCCCTCTTGTCCTTCTCCCTCCTCGCCGTGTGCTGCACGGCCACGTCTCCCCCTCCAACCACTCCTCGGGGCCCATGGTCCCCGCCCCCCTTGGCACCATACTCTAAAGCCTCTGAAGAATCCCTACCACCCCTCCCCCCCCCTCTCCGCCCTCCCCTTCTCCCTCCTGGCAGAGTGTTGCACGACCACATCCCCCCTCTGACCGCTCCTCAAGACCCATGGTCCTCGCCCTGCTTGTCAGCTTACTCGAAACCTGCCAAAGACTTCCTCCCCCCCAACCCCCATTCTCTCCTCCCTCCCGTCCCCCCCCCAGCAGTGTGTTGCACGGCCACGTCTCCCCCTCTGACTGCATGGTCCTCGGCCCCCTCGTGGGCATCATAGGCTGCATTGAAACTTTCCCCCTCCTCTCTCCCCCTCTCTCCATTCCTTTCCCACAGTGTGTTGCACGGCCACGTCTCGCCTTCCGACCGCTCCTCAAGACCCATGGTCCTCGCCCCCCTTGTCGGCATCATAGGCTGCCTCTACTCCCAGGCACGGCAGGCCAATGAGGATGCGCCAGCTGGCATGGTGCAGTCGGTGCTGCAAGCGGATCCCTCCCTGGACTGCGTGAAGGGATTGGAGTACCTGCTTGGGTTTGACTGGGTGAGTGAGGGAGGGAGGGAGGGAGGGAGGGAGTGAGTGCGGGGGGAGTGAGTGAGGGAGTGAGAGGAGGAGTGAGAGGAAGGAAAGTGAGAGGGTAGCCGTCAGCAGCGCCCCTCGGTCATCCTGCTCCAGTTTGTACGAGCTGGAGCCCTCAGCTCGTCACTCGACGACTTTTCGCACCCTTGAGCCAGAAATTTGCGCTGCTAAGAAGATCTCACTCCTTGCTCCCTCTTCCACCCGCCTCCCCTCGCACCTCTCGCAGAAGGCGGCCTTCAGCAGCCCCCCATCCTCATCCCTCTCGGATCTCCGCCTCTTTGTGGACCACTTGAAGAGGGAGCAGGCCGCTCGCAAAGCGGCTGCCGAGGCTGCCGCCACTGCCAGTGAGCTCACTGCTAGCATGTGAACAGACACATCCGACCCTCTCTTCACCTGCTTTCCATTCAGTCCTAACCCGCCTCCTCCAACCACTGTCTCCCAGAGCGTTTCTTATGCCCACTTCACCACTGCTCCTTCGGTGCTTTTCCCTTGCCTCTCCCCCTCCTGCTCTTCCCCCTCCTGCTCCTCCCAGGCCGTGAGAGGAAGGGCAAAGAGCAGGCGCAGGAGCAAGGAACCACCGAAGGGGGGATGGCTGGAGCAGGTGCTCAGGCAGGGGAGGGAGAGGGCGAGGAGGAGGAGGAAGGCGAGCTGTGCAGCATCTGCTACGCGGCTCCCAGCGACACTCAGTTCGTCCCCTGTGGTCACTCCTCATGCGACCGCTGTGTGGCACGGCACCGCTTGAACAGCCCTCGCTGTTTCTTCTGCAATGCTGTGATCGAGCGACTAGCGGCGAAGCAGTGATCCTAGGTGAGCTCCGTGCTGTAGCATCTTCTGTGCAGCTGTGCTGCATCTACACTAGCTTCACCCCCCGTGGTCATTTGACTGGCACGGTGCACGGTAATGAATTGGCAGAGTGGTGCCAATTCTCCTTCTGTAATGCTGTGATGGAGTGGTTGATTGGCTGCTGTGCACTAATTGAATGGCAAGTTCGAAACACAGACAGACACTAGGCGAACAGGTAGCTGATGATAAGCCAAATTGCTGTTGCCGTGAGTTGTGGCCATGTGTTGGTTCGGGACGAGTTGTCAACCAGAGACAGGAACTGCGTTGTGCAAAACAGAGTCAGTTGAGAAGTGAAGGGCAGAACAAATGCCAAAGCTTTCCCTTCCCAGCACTCGCCAGCACGCTGGACTTGAAGTTGCCACGTCTAACATTCGTGACATTGGACCAATAATAGTACCAGCTTGGGTCTGGGATCCCTGGTGTTACGAGTCCCCCGAGCACATTGCAGAACCATGCCCTGCACGGTGGTTGATGTGCAAGCGCGCTGGATGGGTGCTTATTGTGGAACAGAAGGGGAGAATGCCTGAGAGGGGGTGTGGAACGGTGCACCATGGGGATGGTAATGTTGGTGGTGATGGGGGTGGTGCTGCTGCTGCCGATGGTGACGATGGTGGGCCGATGTTTCTTCAACCTGCAGGAGACAAGGAGGACAAGGAGGAAAAGGAGGACAATGGGGACAATGCGGCGTGGACAGACATGGGGGGAAGGGAAGTGGCTGAGAGTTTGAACATCTCCGTAACAAATATCATTTCATTAGGAGTGCCAGAGATGAGTTGGGAAGGCAGGGTGACCTAGGAGGTAAATGGCTGCGGAATCGGGAACCTTGTCATGAGCTACATGCCACATGGAATGGAGCACAGGAGTCGGAGGCCACATGCGATACCAACCTGCACAGTCAAGTTTGAGATGCCGACCGATCGGAACACGTCCGAGACTCGCCGCCTCAGCGACTGCCGCAGCTGCTGAACCTCCTCCAGCCGCTGCTGCTTGCTCCCGTACTCGCTATAAGCATCTCCATTCCGCGCCAATGCACCCGCCTCCTTAGCTCTATGTTTGAGAGTATCCCCTGAGATGAGCACGTGGATGCTGCCCACTAGCATCTTGGGAGTGAAGGACCAGAAGTGCCTCTGCTGCACTGCCACCACTCCTGCCATCGACTCAACCTGCCACGATTGAACCATGGGATGAAATGTGGGAAGTCTTAAATGACCAGTAGAAAGGGACGCCTGAGGTACAGAATGAAGAACAAGTTCATCAACAGAAAGACTAGTCGGATAGTGGAGGATTCGGGAAACCTCGATTCTTGAGTCAACACAAGGACAACCTGTTTTTTGAGTCCGCTCAGAAGCAGTCGTGGCTGCTAAGCCTAGATTCTCCAAGCCACCCACTCACCTTTTTCAAGGCAGCTGAGATCTGCTGCTCAGCTGCCCGGGGCACTCTTTGGAGAATGATTTCGGCAGAGTTTTGCAGCAGAGGGATGACGGTGGTGATGATGAGAGCCGATATGAATATGGAGCAGGCCTGATCAGGAGGACAGAGGGGAGAGCGCGGGTGGATGGAGGCGGGGATGGGGGAACAGGAAGTGGAGGGAGTGAGCAGAGGGATGCCAGTAGCGATGATGAGAGCAGATACGAAAATGGAGCAGGCCTGGTAATTGGGCATCGAGAGAGGGGGGAAGGGGGAGGGGAGGGGAGAGGAGAAGCACGGGCGCAAGAAGTTGCAGGAGGGATGACGGTAGGTAGCGAAGGAGTGGACTGACGCGCTTTCATGTGGGTTAAAAGATAACAAACGCGAATCGTTCAGATTCTGTCACGAAGGTGAGAGGAAGCGAGAGGGGGTTCCTCCCAAACTGTAGCACCATCCAGCTTCTAACTTCTCTCTTCCCTTCCCTTCTACCTTCCCTGTGCCCCAGTGCCTCAGTGCACCAGTGCACCAGTGCCCCAGTGCCTCAGTGCACCAGTGCCCCAGTGCCCCAGTGCCTCAGTGCACCAGTGCCTCAGTGCCCCAGTGCCCCAGTGCCCCAGTGCCTCAGTGCCCCAGTGCCCCATTGCCCCAGTGCCTCAGTGCACCAGTGCCTCAGTGCCCCAGTGCCCCAGTGCCCCAGTGCCTCAGTGCCCCAGTGCCCCATTGCCCCAGTGCCTCAGTGCCCCAGTGCCCCAGTGCCCCAGTGCCTCAGTGCCCCAGTGCCCCAGTGCCCCAGTGCCTCAGTGCACCAGTGCCTCAGTGCCCCAGTGCCCCAGTGCCTCAGTGCCCCAGTGCCCCAGTGCCTCAGTGCACCAGTGCCTCAGTGCCCCAGTGCCCCAGTGCCTCAGTGCACCAGTGCCTCAGTGCCCCAGTGCCTCAGTGCCTCAGTGCCCCAGTGCCCCAGTGCCTCAGTGCACCAGTGCCTCAGTGCCCCACCAGTGCCCCAGTGCCCCAGTGCCCCAGTGCCCCAGTGCCTCAGTGCACCAGCCTTTGTGGGTCTGTGAGCATCCAGCGCAACATTGAAACAGTCAATTCAACAGACCTGCCTATGACCTGTCACTCTCATCTTTCCCCCTCTTATCAGCTGCGCAAGGCACCTCCCGTACCGGGTCTGTGAGCATCCAGCCCTTGTACTTGATGAGAAGGGTCGATATCACCACCCCCACACTGCCCAGTGTGTCCGCCAACACGTGCAGGAAGATGCCTGCATGTGCGCATATTTTGGGGGAGGGGGAGGGAGAGTGAGGGGCTGTGTGGGGCGGGTTACAGGTATGTGTGCAATGGGCGATAGCACCACCTCCACACTGCCGAGTGCGTCCGTGCAGAAAGTTGCGTGTGCGTGTGGGTAGGAGGAGTGGGGGAGAGTGAGAGGTTGTGTGGGTTGGGTATGTGTGTGATGGTCGATACCACCACGTGTATTTTGAGTCGACTCAAAATACACCTGGAGAGTGAGAGGTTGTGTGGGTTGGGTATGTGTGTGATGGTCGATACCACCACGTGTATTTTGAGTCGACTCAAAATACACATGGAGAGTGAGAGGTTGTGTGGGTTGGGTATGTGTGTGATGGTCGATACCACCACGTGTATTTTGAGTGGACTCAAAATACACCTGGAGAGTGAGAGGTTGTGTGGGTTGGGTTTGTGTGTGATGGTCGATACCACCACCCACGCACGTATCCACCAACACGCGAAGAAAGATGCATGTTTGAGTGTATGGCTGCACCAGAGGGACAGGGAGATTGGCGCGGGTGTGTGGGTGGGAGGAAGAGGGGGTCCAGAGTAAGAGTGTGTTACGACCGCACCCACATTGCCCGATGTGTCAGCAAGCACATGAACAGGGCTTTCCAACAATGCAGGGTAGTGGGGGGGACGAGGAGCACCCACCATGCATGTTGTGGTCCACATGGGGATTGCCGGATGTGAGCACCTCTTGCACACACGCCCCCCCGCCATCCCCATCCCCTCCCCCATCGCGCACATCCATGGTCAGTGACGAGCAAGATGCGTCATGATGCATGCCTCCATGCTCATGCTCGTGCCCATGCTCTAGCTCATTCACATCCGAATGATGATGATGGTGCTCATGCCCATGCCCATGTCTATCCCCATGCCCAGGCCCATGCTCATCCCCATCCTCATGTTCATGTCTATGCCCATTCTCTTCCCCGTCTGAAATGCTTTCTCCTGCCCACTCCTCAAAATCCAGCCGCACGGGCAGCGCCTGCAAGTTTTCTTCTCCCTGCCCTATTCTCCTCCTCGCCTTGTGCACAGCCAAAAGTTTCTCTGCCCCTGATGATGGTAGCGATGGTGACACTACCGAAGGTGATGATAACGGGAACGAGGTTGGCGACTGTAAGACTGATCTAGTAGTGCTGCTGCTCCTGGCATCTTCCCACTTCTCTTGCTCCCACCCCCCCTCCCCTGCGGCGCACTCCCCCTCATGCCCATGCACATGCCCGTTCCCATGCGCATGGTGATGGCTATTCCCTCGCCCATGTGAGCAGTCTTTGTGACCGTGATGGTCATCATCATGGTTATGGTCGCACCCATGCATGTCATCATGGTGTTTATGGGGTTTATGCTGGTCGTGCTGGTGGCTATGCTGCTCATGGTCATGGTTGTGTTGATGCGCATGATGATGGTCATGGTCATGGTGCTTGTGGGAGCATGGCCCCGCATGCTCATGCTTGTGCTCACGGGCGTGGTCATGGGCATGGTCATGGGCATGGTCATGGGCATGGTCATGGGCATGGTCATGGGCATGATGAGAGTGGTCATGGGAGTGGTCATGGGCATGCGAATGAGAGTGGTCATGGGCATGGGAGTGCGAGCAGGACCCCCCATGCGCGTGGTGGTGCGCCTCATGGAAGAACACGAGCCCCACCATGTTCACCACCAGCCCCCCCACCGACACCGCCAGCAGGTTGGCCGTCGATATGTCGGGCGGGTCCAGGATTCTGAAATGAGTCACAGGGCGGAGTAGGACGAGTAGAGTGTTTTCAGGTGTTTTGAAAAGGTCATGCAGTGGTCAGGCCGGCAGATCCTGTGCTGTGAGGTGACACTTGAGGATGGTGGGTGGGGAGGAACTCGCCTGCTTTCTTAAGGACAACGTCTCCTGGGAGCCAAGAATGAAAGAGGGCGCACCTTTCAATGGACTCAAAGACGATGAGTGCTGCGATGAGCACGAGGAAGACGGCATTCACAAAGCCTGACAGCACCTCAAAGCGGCCGTAGCTGAGAAAGTGGAATGGGATGGCATGGGGTCGGATGGGATGGCATCGGACACGAGGACAGAGGAAACGGAAAAGCACGAGGAAAATGTCATTCAGAAAGCCTGACAGCGCCTTAAAGCGGCTGAAGCTGGAGGACACAATGGGATAAGCAGATGGCATGGGAAAACGATAAGATAAGATGGGACGTTACGAGTCATGGTAAAGGAAGAGGATACTTGGGGTGAGATCTGGCAATGTTTGAAGAGTCGGGTCCAGAAGAAGATGCAGACATGTCTGAGATCTGGCAGTGTTCACCGCAACGGGGACATCTGGAACCAGCATCAGAGGATCCGGTCCTAGGCGGATTTGGAAGGAGAGTCGAGGCGAGAGATGTAGAAGGCGTAGTGGCTGCAGCGGCAAACGATGATCAACACACCTTACCCCAAGAGCAAGAGCAAGAGCAGCAGCAGCACTGACCCGTAGGCGAACTTGGAAGGGGAGTCAAGGCGAGAGATGTAGGAGGCGTAGAGACCGATGGCGAGAGCAGCGCAGTCAAAGAGCATGTGGCACGCATCCGAGATGAGACCCAGGCTGGTGGGGAAACGGGTCAACATGAGAATCAACATGAGATGTAGGAAGCGTAGCCAAGAAAGAGCAGCGCAGTCAAAGAGCATGTGGCACGCATCCGAGATGAGACCCAGGCTGGTGGGAAGAGAGGAGGGGGGAGAAGACAGGGGTAACGTAACGAGTGGCGGTAAAGAGGGGGCTATCAGGGAGAGGAGGAATCAACATGAGATGTGGGTCGCAAAGAGACCAATGGAAAGAGCAGTGCACTGCACTGGGCACTGCACTGGGCACTGCACTGGGCACTGCACTGGGCACTGGACTGGGCACTGCACTGGGCACTGCACTGGGCACTGGACTGGGCACTGCACTGGGCACTGCACTGGGCACTGGACTGGGCACTGCACTGGGCACTGGGGGTAGACAGGCGATTATGAGCTTTAAGGCGAATCAACATGAGATGTGAAAAGTGTAGAGACCAATGGCAAGAGAATCCCAGTCAGAGAGCATGTGATGCGCGTCTGAGATAAGACCCAGGCTGGTAGGAGCAGGGGGGAACGGGCTGGGGAGAGATAGGGGTATAAGTTATGGGGCACCTCGAAATGAGGGGGTATGGAAGGCGATGGTGAGAGCAGAGCAGAGCAGTCACAGAGGATGTGAAATGCATCTGAGATAGCGCCCAGAGCGATGGGAGCGATGGGATGTAGGAGGCATAGAGGTTCATTCAGAGAGGGACATGCAACCCACACATCACCTGCCACAAAACCCTGAGCCCAGCGAGACCAGCCCACAAAAGCCAAGCTTACCTGTTGGAGAGGAAGCCCACGGAGAACTCGACAATCATAAACGCTGCGTTGATGAGGAGAAAGACTGCCGGGGAGGGGGGGGGGGGGGGGGGTTAAGGGGAGGGGAAGGGGGGGTCGCTCAGAATGGAATGGAGGTAGGAGGCAGCGGAAGGAAGTAAAAAGGTCGAAGGGAAAAAGACCTGACAGCGGCATGTGCCTGAGAGTAGCGGACATGCATGCAAGTAGCGGACATGCATGCGAGTAGGACTGGCGGAGTGGGTGAGTAGGTGGACTGGATTGAATGAAGGGGACAAGCAGGAGTATCATCTTTGTTATGTTATCAACGATCTTCTCTCAAGAGCGAAGCTCAACACGGAGAAGAAAGATGGAAGACCAAAGGAGAGGTGTGATTAAATAGCTCGATTTTGGGGGAGAGTTGAAGGCCATGCACACAGCAGACCAGGCATTGATGGCAAGGCGGGGCGTTCAGTGCTTGGGAACTCGAGCCAATGCATGCACTCCTAACTTCTTTAGCTTACGTATGCATGCAGGCTCGAGCACGACCTCACATCTATGTGCAATGCGGCAGGGCTGAAAAGCGCACTAGGGTGTGGGAAAGCGCACTGGAACGTGAATCGCACAGCTACTAATCTAGTTGAGAATGCATATGCACTCTCGCATAAACACGCAGAGACTAAAGACCTATCTCATACGTACGCGCAATGCGGCGCGACTTGGAATCAGACAAGACGTGGTCCATGGCTCCCTGCGGGTAGAACCCAAGACAGGGGAGGGCAGGGAGCCACTGGTCAGTCAGTCATCCCAGTAAAGTTTTGATAGAGCACTTACATCTGACCAAGTTTTAGAATTTAAAAGGACGAAGAGAACACAGTCTACTAGTTGACAGGCCAGTAGTCTATCAGCAAGAAATTCAAACCTTCAGCGAGGCTAAGCTAAGCCATGCGAATCTAGTCGTAACGGAACTTTCCCAGAAAGTGTGTGAGCCAGGCGCAAGACATCCCTGCCCAGTCCTCGGGCTAACAATTTCTCTCGACTGTGCAACACGGGTCATCTATTAAACGCCCACCTCCCCATGTCACTGGCAGCTACGTCCGCTACCAGCCAGTGTTTGTATAAACCAGTTTGCCAGGTCGCCAACTCACAGGGATTAGTCTTTCGGCCTTGCAAGTAGGCGACATTACTTTGTTTTCGTTTCTGAAAAGGAAGGGAGGAGCTCTCACCTGCAGCATGGCTGTCTTCGCCTGCACCATGGCTAGGGCGGCACCTCTCGTCTTACCTGCAACATTGCTAGAGCGGCAGTTCTGCGTCGCTCCTTGGCTGCTACCCCATCGTCCGCCAGAGGCCCCATTGACTTGGACCGCTCGATGGCTGTGGACCAATGCAGGCCTGGTGGGGGGAGAGGGAGGAGGGTTAGGTGCAATGGATCGAATGGAGATGTGCCAAGGTAGTCCTCCAGAGACCCCGTTGACTTGGAGCGCTCGAATGCTGTGGACCAATGCAGGCCTGCGCATGGTAGACACGCGTGGGAGGGGGTGCGTCAGAGTAGTCCGCTAGTGACCCAGGTGACAACCCGTTCGATTGCTGTGGGTGAATGCAGCTCTCGAGTGGGGGAGGACGAGAGATGCCAGGCAGAAGGTGCGTGTGAGTGCTCTTTTGACCCGCAAAGACCCAGAAATCCAGAGATCCAGAAGCAGGCAACAGCAAGCAGCGAGCGGATCACGTACCAGCAGCAACCAGCAGGCCGATGAAGACGAAGGAGAGCGGGCTGAAGTGCATGGACGACCCTTGACTCGACTCAAAAGAGGGGGAGGAGGGGGATGACAGGGTGAGGGAGATGATGGGGACAGAAGGACGGCGTACCAGCAGCAAGCAGCAGGCCAACGAGGACGAAGGAGAGCGGGCTGAAGTGAAAGCGGTAGAGGAGCAGCAGCACCACCACAGCGACAGATGTCACGAGCAGGTGCTTCAGAGACGAGGGGCCGATGCGCAGCCTGCAAGGGCGAGAAACAGGCGGGAGATGGGAGCACAAGGCAAGACACTGAAACTGTCTTGTTGTCGGTGTGATTTGAAATCTCTAAAAAAGAACTGTCTTGTTCTTGGCAGGGCCCTACAGGCAATGGGTCAGAAACGAGGGGGCATGCGCAACCTGTACAGGTGCAGGGATCAGGGGTTGGTCGTAAGGGGGATCGCCTGCTGTTCGTTGGAAATAAAATCCATGGCTCCACTCACTCGTCACCCACCCATTCGGGTTCTCTCTCCCACCCCCCTCTCTCCCATCCCCCTCTCTCACATCCCCCTCTCTCACATCCCCCTCTCTCACATCCCCCTCTCTCCCATCCCCCTCTCTCACATCCCCCTCTCTCACATCCCCCTCTCTCCCATCCCCCTCTCTCACATCCCCCTCTCCCATCCCCCTCTCTCACATCCCCCTCTCTCCCATCCCCCTCTCCCATCCCCCTCTCTCCCATCCCCCTCTCTCACATCCCCCTCTCCCATCCCCCTCTCTCACATCCCCCTCTCTCACATCCCCTCTCTCCCATCCCCCTCTCTCCCATCCCCCTCTCTCCCATCCCCCTCTCCCATCCCCCTCTCTCCCATCCCCCTCTCTCACATCCCTCTCTCCCATCCCCCTCTCTCACATCCCCCTCTCTCACATCCCCCTCTCTCCCATCCCCCTCTCTCCCATCCCCCTCTCTCCCATCCCCCTCTCCCATCCCCCTCTCTCCCATCCCCCTCTCTCACATCCCCCTCTCCCATCCCCCTCTCTCCCATCCCCCTCTCTCCCATCCCCCTCTCTCACATCCCCCTCTCCCATCCCCCTCTCTCACATCCCCCTCTCTCACATCCCCCTCTCTCCCATCCCCCTCTCTCACATCCCCCTCTCTCACATCCCCCTCTCTCCCATCCCCTCTCTCCCATCCCCCTCTCTCCCATCCCCCTCTCTCACATCCCCCTCTCTCCCATCCCCTCTCTCCCATCCCCCTCTCTCACATCCCCCTCTCCCATCCCCCTCTCTCCCATCCCCCTCTCTCCCATCCCCCTCTCTCCCATCCCCCTCTCTCACATCCCCCTCTCCCATCCCCCTCTCTCACATCCCCCTCTCTCACATCCCCCTCTCTCACATCCCCTCTCTTACATCCCCCTCTCTCCCATCCCCCTCTCTCACATCCCCCTCTCTCCCATCCCCCTCTCTCCCATCCCCCTCTCTCACATCCCCCTCTCCCATCCCCCTCTCTCACATCCCCTCTCTCACATCCCCCTCTCTCCCATCCCCCTCTCTCCCATCCCCCTCTCTCCCATCCCCCTCTCTCACATCCCCCTCTCCCATCCCCCTCTCTCACATCCCCCTCTCTCACATCCCCCTCTCTCCCATCCCCCTCTCTCCCATCCCCCTCTCTCACATCCCCCTCTCCCATCCCCCTCTCTCCCATCCCCCTCTCTCCCATCCCCCTCTCTCCCATCCCCCTCTCTCACATCCCCCTCTCCCATCCCCCTCTCTCACATCCCCCTCTCTCACATCCCCCTCTCTCACATCCCCCTCTCTCCCATCCCCCTCTCTCACATCCCCCTCTCTCCCATCCCCCTCTCTCCCATCCCCCTCTCTCACATCCCCCTCTCTCCCATCCCCTCTCTCCCATCCCCCTCTCTCCCATCCCCCTCTCTCCCATCCCCCTCTCTCCCATCCCCCTCTCTCCCATCCCCCTCTCTCCCATCCCCCCCTCTTCTCATCCCACCCTCTCCTCACCCCCCACTCACTTGTCTTCCGCCAGCGTGTCGACATAGAAGGAGAACACCAGCCCCGCCAGTATCACCACTGCATACACCTGCATTGGCCGACCCCCTGCCTCTAAGTCCATGGCTTGGGCTCCCTGTGGGGGTTGGGGGGGGCGAAGGGGAAGGAGGGGACGAGGAAAGCTGGCATATTCTGGCTCTGGATTTGCAGTCTGTCTCGGCCATGCGAAACAGCGGTTGGCACAGAGCGCAGACGAGGAGAGCGGCGAGAGGTGAAGAGAAGCACACTCAAGTGGCTTACTCGTCCCGGTGCTTTTACCACGCCACAGTGGCAGTCACCGTGCTGACGTATCTCTTACCCGGCTGAGCTGGAAAATGGCGACAAGAGACGCCTTTCACAGCGGCCTTACCTTGAGAAGTTGATTCTTACCCCGCTGAGCTGGAAGATGGCGATAGGCAGAAGGAAGAAGACGGAGGACACTGCTGTGACTGCATGCAGGCGCTTCTTCTGCTGCGACTGGTGAGCATAAGTGGGGGAGCGTGTGAGTGGGGGAGAAAAAGAGATAAGGGGGTTAGAGGGGGAGGGGAGGGGAGGGGCGAAGAAGACGTAAAGGGGAAGAGCTGTGACTGCATGCATCCCAAAACCCCTCTACCACGTTGACCCCCTTCCCTCATCCCTCCTCCATACCTTTCCAAGTCGAGCGAGCAACCTTCTCAGAGCAAAAAGAACCCCAGCAGCCACAGGCAGCAGCATGGCAGTCAGCGGATTCCCCCCTGCTGCTTCCACCATCCCAATCCCGGACATTCCTGCAACCTGCCACGGCAGCAACCCCCCTCCTCCCTCCCCTGCTGCTGCTCCACTCCCTGCTACCCCTGCTACACCCGCGCTGCTGCTGCCTGTGCTGCCAGTGCTGCTGTCGGCGCCTGTGGCGGTAGCTGTGGCAGCGGTGCTGTCCAAGGGGAGGGTGCTGGCGGACGGAGGGAAGTCTGGAGGAAGGGTGGGACCGAGCGGTATTCCCGAGGCAAGGAGATAGAACGCTGCCAGCATTGCAATCGCACCGTACAGCTGCAGAGGGGAAGGAGGGAGGGGAAGGAGAAGGACTAGTGAGCCGACTCAAAAGTCACCCATGCAGCTAGCGTTAGCCAACTACACCTCCTCTTAAAAAACTGCACCTCACCTTGAGCACGCGGTGTCCTCTCCGCCCAAATATCATGGTGGAAATGGTGGCAACCACCGCTCCAGAGTACTCCGCCATCACCGACCTGCTCAGAGCCCCAGCAAAAAGGTAAGGGGAGGGAGGATGTGAGGAGAAGGAGCGGGCATACGACCTTCAGGTATCTTATGGAAGCGCCTTGAGAGTTAAACTCCTCACGACATGCAAGAAGGAAGGACGGCGAAAAACGAAGTCGCATGCGAGAGAGAAAGGTCGTGGGCGAAAGCTGGAGAAGGGAGGTGGAGAGCGCACTGACCTTAGAGGGCCGCACTGCTTCAGTCCGTACGCCCACGTGACAACAGCGAGCGCAAGCACGCCTCCATTCATGACCGAAATGCCCCACTGATGGCGTGACGAAAACGGGGGGTAGAAGAGAGGGGTTGGGAAGACGGAACGGGAAGGAAAGGACGAAGAAGGGAGATGAAAAGGGAGGGGGGCAAATGCGACCAGGGTACTGAGAGCCGATCAGGGTTAAGTGAGAGCCGATCACAGCCTGAGTGTTGGCGAGGCGTTACCTGGGTGTTGGCGAGGCGTTACCTGGGTGTTGGTGAGGCGTTTGCCCTTCCAGGGCCGTTGGAGGAAGAAGAAGAGCAGCGCGGCGCCGAGGAGCGAGAAGAAGCAGAAGAGCACCACCGACACGTCCGACTCCACCAGGAAGCGGTACGCCACGAACACGGCCAGCACGCGGAGCGACCGTCCGAGGATGTAGAACGCGTGCAGCGGCGCGTGCGACTGCTGCTGAACCCTGCGGGAGAATCACGAGTTTTAAGGAGATAAAGAAGCGCGGAGCGACGGATTGTTTAGGGAAATTGGGCACGAATACAAGGTCGAGCGGAAACTGACCAGCGGAGCAGATGTGGAGAAGCCTAAAAGTGTCTGGACTTCGCCTGATGCCGGTTTTGATCAGATTAGAGAAACGGATGGCAGACGCAAAGGCATGGATGGGATCTTATGAGGGGAATGGAGATAAGAGTCATGTGACAGTAACGAGCGGTCGCACCTTGATGTGCCGGGACCCAGGTGCCATCGATTCAGCCGTGCGACGCCTTCGCCGATGGAACTCTCGTCGGACAGCATCGCACATGCGACGGCGACGCGGCCAGGCACAGCTAACAGGCAAACGCGACTCTAAGAAGCACGACGCGGCAGAGTACAGCGAAGAGTCCGTGCAAGACTGACTGTGAAAAAACAGCGAGCGAAAGGAATTTGTACTTCCTTTACGTCTGAAAAAGGAATATGTAAAACAGTAAGGCACTGGCGCTGTCAAACCAACTCCTTGGATCTGAACGGCTCCTGATCAAGAGATTCGATTCCTCCTTACAGCCTCTTTCGATGAAAACGCATTGCTCAGCATGTTTCCAAGGAGGTTCCTTTATATCTAAGCGCCTCGTCTCGTTGCGTTAGCCGTATGACTGAGAATCTTCTAAGCCTCTCCCAGTACACGCTAAGAAGCTACAACTGATCGAGTGCCTAATGGCTCATGCGATCGCTAGTGGACGTAGACGGGAGACATGTCCGCAAAAGAGATACGAGTTTGTACCACGACGCGAGCTTAAACGCACGAGCCGCGTATGGCACGCTGAATCTTAGACTTGATCATCAGGTTCGGGTAGTGGAATCAGACGGACTGACCAACCATGGATGTTGGTGTCTGACAGGCAAATCCTTCACCACCACTTCAGTGGTGGCAGTCCCAAGGGTGGTGATGAGATCCAGGCGGACAGGAGCTCAAGGGCAACTCTAGACCCAAAACGAGATACAAAAAACGACTGTAGATGTGGATTAGAAAACTTAGCAGATATGTATAAATGCAACACCCTATAAAGGGATCTAGATGCCTTTCACACACCTTGTTTAAACCGTTTCAATACCTAAATACATCATAGCAATATCAAAATCAGCACAATAGAAACGTTTGCATCGTCCCGAAGATTTGAAGAGATATAGTATACATGTTAGTGTCTTTATGTTGGTTGAAATGAGGTGTTATCGGGTTTGTTTAGGAGAAAACACTAAATGTCTGCGCATCCGATGTTGAACTATGCTCGACAGAGTTACTATCAGACTGAGAGTAGTGAATGATTGGGTAGAGGGAGAGTACAGATAGATATACCTAAGTATTGTACCCTCTAAGAGGTGACCCTATACAGTCTATGCAAATATAACAAATACACATGTTTGACACACCCCCTAGACTGCATAGGGGAATGTCCTCAACAAGCAACTCAGGGCGGCACTACTAGTCCAACCTCTGAGACAAGGGTCTAAGAGACCAGTCAGAAGGAGTACAGACACGGCGAGAACAAGACCAGGGCGGCACTACTAGTCCAGCCACTGGTAGAGGACACAAGTCCAGTCTGAGTATACATATAAAGGACAGTACAAAATCAAGGTCCTAGCAAATGAGAGGCTACAGGAACTAGACCAAGCTGTACACAGTGTCGCTGATGATCTTTAGACGCAAGCGCCTTCGTAAAGATATCAGCTGTGTTGGCACCTGAGGCCAAGTGTACTACGCGAGCCTGACGTCGCTGCTGTAGCTCACGCATGAGGAAGTACCGCAGCTGAATGTGCTTCGCTCTGCCCTCGAGTCGAGGCTCATGACACAGGAGGATCATGGCCCTGTTGTCAGCGAACAGGACCGGGGCAGAGCTAGGCCGCTCACCTAAGTCAGTGAGCAAGAAGGTCAGCCAGCGGAGCTCCTGTGCCGCCATGGCACCAGCGTAGATCTCAGCCTCACAGCTGGACTGGGCAACAGACGAGGAGCGGGTAGCTCTCCACGAGACGGCACCTGAGCCAAGGCTGAAGCAGTAGCCCTGGGTAGACCTGAGTGTCTCGGCGTCGTCTGCCCACGAAGCGTCTGTGTGTCCAGTAAGGACCACTGGCCTGCGTCCTCCTAGCACTAACCCCATGCTCGATGTACTAGCAAGATAACGCAGAACCCTCTTAGCGGCAGACCAGTGCTGCGGTCGGTGTCTGCCTGTGGCCACAAAGCGAGCCAGGATGCTGAGAGGGTATGCGAGATCTGGGCGAGTGCAAGTCATCAGGTACATGAGGCAACCCACCAGCTCTGCGTAGGGGCCGCTCGGCTCTACCAACTCCTCAGACACTGGAGCGGAGAGTCTGTGGTCTACAGGCAGAGGGGTGGGGTGTGCAGAGGAGAACTGAAGGCTGAACCTCTGAAGGACCTGGCGCACCAAGTGTGACTGAGTCAGGGTGATGGTGCGCGATGCTCTGTCCCTGGAGATCTGCAAGCCAAGGTAGCGGCGCAGTTCTCCAAGGTCAGTGCACGTGTGTCTCTTCAGCAGCTCTGCCTTCACGGAGGCCAGTGCGTCCCTGTCTGCTGTGGCAAAGACCAGGTCGTCGACGTAAACAAGGATGTAGAACGGAGTCTGGCCAGCACGAACGAAGAGTGAGGGGTCTGCGGAAGACGGAAAGAACTGCAGGTCAGCAAGCGTAGCACGGAGAGTGTCGTGCCACTCACGGGGAGCCTGGCGCAGGTCGTAGACGGGGCGCCGCAGGAGCCACTGGGTCCCAGGAGGGAAGGTGCCAGTAAAGCCCTGAGGGCGACGCAAGTAGACCTGCTCGTGTAGGCTGCCCTGAAGGAAGGCAGTGGAGAAGTCGAGGGAGTGAAGCTCGTAGTCACGCTGAGCAGCTAGGTGTAACAGAACCCGAAGAGTAGTCATCTTCGGGGTCGGAGCGAAGGTCTGGAAGAAGTCCACCCCCTCACGCTGACTGAAACCTCTAGCCACATAGCGCGCCTTGAACACAGGCGGCTCTCCAGGAGGGCGCTTCACCTTGAAGAGCCAGCGACCATCGACTACGTTCACCCCAGGCGGGGGAACTGCGTCGACGAAGGTGCCGGTGGATCTCCAAGATGCCATCTCCTGCTCCATGGCAGCTATCCACTGCGAGGCCCAGGGTCCCGAAGTCGCCTCAGCGTAAGTGCGAGGGGTCGGAATGTCGAAAGCGTCTGGGTCACCCTCAGGGACTAGCAGCATGGAACAGAGATGGGGAGCAGCCTCGGATAGGAAAGCAAGCTCGAACTGGCGGTCCTCCAGGACGTCACTGCCGAGGGCAGGAGCACCGCCGACAGACGGAGGACATGCAGGGTCAGAGACCAGAGCGGTGGCGTAGTCAAGGCGGCGGGTAGAGGCAAAGTCAGCGACCGCAGCGACAAGAGCGTCAAGGCGCGAGACCGGAACAGATAGGTCGGTAACGAGAGAGGCAAGGACCCGAGGAACAAGAGGACGAGCGGTACGAAGGTAGTCAGACAGCGGGGGGGGTGCAACAACAAGGGAGGACGGAGGAGGCGACGGCAGAAGGGGAGGACGAGACGCGTGGGAACGAAGCAACATAGGGTGGGAGCGCAAGACAGGCGAGGCAGGACGAGCACGGGAGGGACGGTGAGACCAGACGTGCGACGGAGGAGTCGGGTCAGGAGACAGGGGAGGGGACACAGGAGGGGAACGAGGGGGGAGACGGGCCGGGGACGAGTCCGGCGGAGGGAACACAGGGCCGTAGACGGGAAGAGGAGGAGACGGTCGGAGAGGAACAGACGCAGGGTCAGGGGACGGAAGGCCGAGCAGGCGAAGGGCTGACACCGGCGGGGACTGCTGCTGCGGCGGCAAAACGCGACACCTGGACCGCAAGCTGCTCCTCGGCTACCACCGGCACACTCCACACCAGCACCCCCAGAGGGACCACCCCCAGGGCTACCGGGACGAGCACCCCCAGAGTCAGCGAACGGGTGCTGCGACGGCGGCGGCGGCGGCTGCAGCGACAACGACGGCTGCAGCGGCGGCAGAGGCGGTGGAGGAGGGGACTGGGGAGTGGACGCCGGGGGAGGGGCGGCCAGCGAGGACTGCGCAGCAGGGCCACCAGAGTCAGAAGACTCCTCAACCGGGTCCACCGACGGAAGGGGGGTGACGTGGGACACACCAGAGGGGGCAGGATGGGGAGGAGGAGGAGGAGGGGCAGGGACTACCGGGGAAGGAGTGACCAGGAACAGGGGGGGGTAACCGGGGGACCGCGGTGGGGGAAGCGACGGTAGTAGGAGACGGACTCGTTAAATGTGACGTCGCGAGAGTGAAAGAAGCGGTGAGACGGTGGGTGGTAAAAGTGCCAGTCGGACGCGTCAAGGGGAAAACCGAGGAAGACACAGGGAAGGGTGCGGGCAGTGAGCTTGTCCGTGCCGGAGGCACGGACGTGAGCAAGGCAGCCCCAGACGTGGAACGCAGACGCGTCACCAGAAGACCCAGTCCAAAGACGGGTCGGCGAAACCTGCGGCTGCTGAGGGTGCGGCCACAAGTTAAGCTGGTGAGAAGCGTAGCGCACAGCGAACGGCCACAGAAAATGGGGTGCACCGGCATGGATCATGGAGGTGCGAGCCACCTCCATGACCAAACCGATGCGTCGCTCAGCGACCCCATTCTGCTGTGGGGAGTCCGGTAGGGTGAACGTCTGGGTGATGCCCTCCGCACGACAAAAGCGACCAAGGACACCTGAGGCAAACTCGCCACCACGGTCGGAGTGAAGACGCAAGACAGGGAGACCGCGGTGGACACGCGCAGAGACAAGCCAGGGGATGAGAGCGCCAGGCACGTCGGCCTTGCGCTCCAGGGGAAAGACTGTGGTGTAACGAGTGAAGTCGTCGACAAGCACAAGGAAGTAGCGCTCTCGACGCGGCCCAGGGACGGGGGCGGGGCCCCAGACGTCCATGTGTAGAGTCTGCAGCGGTGCGGCGGTAGGGGGAAACGAGGAGGAGTGAGGGGCACGGCGAAGCCGACCCTCGACACAAGGCGTGCAAGGTGGGGCTGGGGAGGAGGGAAACGTGGGGAGAGAACCTGGGAGACCAAGGACAAGACCGTGCTGGGACATGTGACGCAGACGCGGGAGCGCAGGGTGACCTAGGCGGTGGTGCCAAAGGAGAGTCGGGTGAGTGAGGGACCGACAGGAGCAGGCAGCAGCAACCTGGGTGAGCGCTCCAGCCGGGGGGGTCACGGTGTCCAGAGTGAACAGGTCGGACACCGGGTCCCAGGGGAACGTGGACAGGGGGGCACCAGTGGCGGCCTCGGTACAGACAGCATACCGCTCGTGACCAGGGAACGTAGTGGTGACGCCAAGGTCCTGGAGGCAGCCGACACCAACTAGGTTCCTGGAGAACGAGGGGAGATGCAGACCTGTGAGAGTGTCCGAAGGAACCGCCGGACAGGGAAGGGTGGTGGAACTGCGGGCGACTACCGGACCGCCGGAGGGGTCAGCAAGAGAAACGGCAGCAGGAACAGGAAGCGGCGTCAGGGTGGTGAAGTCGCGGAAGAAACATCGGGAAGCGCCAGAGTCCAAGGTGAAGGAAAGCGAAGCAGAGGCGTCTGGCAACGGAACGACGGCGGAAGCACCAAGACTACACAAAGCAGGGGATCCTACGCCTGACGCAGCAGGGGAGGCTAAGCTAGGCACACCTACACTAGCCGACAGTAAGTAATAAGCGGGAAGCACACTAGAGTCATCAGCATACATCACATGCAGAGCAGAAACAATGGCATCCATGTCCATGTCAAAAATCTGAATCTTACGACTAAGCAAACTGTGCCAGTCCGGGAGGTCTGGCGATGGGCCGAAGCGCTGACGAAAGAGGTCGTCCAG